GGTTTGGGGCGGGGTTGGTGGTGGTGGGGGAGGCATTTATGTACATACATCCCACTTCCTATGTTTTTTCATATTTAACATTCAAACTTCACTTTTTTGCATCAATACCATTTAATTCTTTCATATGACATCAAAATCTACTATTTTTGTACTTTTGGAAAGTGAAATACTCCTTTTCATGCATAGGTAAAGTGGCAAGTTTGTAAAACTTCAAGTTTCTGTGTTAGATATGTAAATACATAGGAATTGAGTGGTATGTATGTAAATCTTCCTCTCTTTTTTGCACTTTTTGTTTTGGTAAAATAAATAACACAATATCCATCTAGATTTGTATTTTGTATGTTGGTTGGCATTCGGGTTTATGTGCACGTAATAATTTGAGTGCTACAGATTGAAATTAGAGCAGTTGCCAATTTAGAAAATTGTCATCCAGACAGTTTGGAACACCTTGTTTGATGTGTCACAAGGCGTCTCATTTTTTAAATTTATTAAAAAAATTGAACCTTAGGAGTCCCTCTTGGATAATTATTGAGAATTTATGCTGGAGACATTTTATATAAGTTGTGTTATTCTAACTTAATTTTATACCCATTGATTTTCTCTTAGATTTTCTTTTCATTCTTTCTCTTTACACTATTTATATTCTTCTCAATTTTCTTACTCTTTATCATTTGATTAAAGCAATAATCTTTTTATTCCTTTTATTTTTCACATTTAATTTAGATGTTTGTTATAGTTATGAAAGATTTGAACTTTTAATAATTATAAATAAGTCCCTAGATTTTCACTTTGGTTTGTGCTTGTTAATCTCTTTCTTGTTTTTCTTTTATTCTTATAACAATTATATTTGTGGTTGAACTATTTGGACGCTTGCATTTGAAGATGGATCTGTTTTCAAATTGGTTAACCAATGGCAACTAAAATCTCAAATCTAGAAAATCAAACCAATCTAAATTTTCATAAAAAAACTGAACAATCAAACCAATATTTAATTCGAACAAACTGAAATCTAAGTGTTAGTTGGATTTCGGTTTTGAATAAACATAAAAAAATACATCTTATATGTATAATATCAATTTAATTTGATGAGTCATCCCTTTGATTTTGAATTTTTAGTTTTTCTGTTTGTTCGGTTAAATAAAAATTAAAACTGACCAATAACCAAAAACCGAATAATGATGTTTTAGAAAGTAAAAAATCGAAATGTATTTTTGAAACCAAATTTGTGCGCAATTCGGCCTTGACCAAATAATGCACACTCCTAGAGAGGA